GAAGGGGCAGCATGTCGGCGTGCACCTGCTTTCCGCCCCGACGCCGTTGCTGGCAGGATCGGGGCCGACTTTCCTTCCTCGACGGAATTCACACTGCGTGTCTCCTGCCTCCCGACTGCCGAATGCACGCACCTTCCTGTGCCTGATACCCGAGATAACGCACCCGTCCTCACGTGATGAGACTAGATGGCACCACCATCAGGAAGGCACGAAGGTACGCAGCGTGGCAGCTAAGGCAGGCATGGTCACAGTCGCTCCTGTCTAATGCGCTTCTGATCACATATCACTGCTCATTCTTGCCAATCGTACCAGCACATGCTTCACCCTCCCGTCCATCATCTCAGCCATCCCATCCCATCCCATCCGTCCATCGGGCTCTCCTAAATGACAGGAGCGACATGGGAATCTGTCTGGGCCGCCCTACCCACCACCAACCTCTCTTCTCCACTTTGATCTGTCCATCCCGCCAAGTGCAGCAGACGGCGGATCTCCCGGGAGTTGAGGTACTTTCCACAGTACTCTGCCCGGATACATTGTGAGTGGCTTGCCGCTGGCTTACCTGGAATTCTAAAGTGGTGGCTCACCTGCATCCCTAGCAGCCTAGCCTGTCCTTCTGTTGGGGGTTCCCCGGCATGTCATTTCCTCCTTGAGGCGCATCATGGGATACCAACATTACGGATCATGGTCAGCACAAAAGTTATTCATGGCTTCTGATGAAGTCCGTTCAGCCTCACTGCCGATGCCCCATTTCCCCGACCCATGCCGCTGGATGCGGCTGTGCTCTTTTGCATCGACATCTCTAATCAAAGTCCCCATCTGTCGGCCTCCAATCAAGTCACTGGAATGACATGGACGACATGCTCATTTTCGATGCTCGCCGTTCAGGGGCGCGGGGCGCCAAATTCAGGGGAAGGACCTCCTGTAGCAGCCCCTCGATGTCCTGTCCATGTCTTCCAAGTTCCACTCGCTCGCCAGCCCTCAAGATGACGGGAGCTGGCCCTAAACCGGCAATCGAGCCCTGCCAATGGACCGTGGGCCCCCGTTGAGCCTCTGCCCAGACTTCGCCACAGGGGAAACGGTCCCCATCGCGATCACTGTTGCGTGGGAGATGACGAACGAGACGGGCCAGGAGGTTTGAGGAGGATCTGCTCAATGCTCGAGGCTGGAATTGAGGAGTCGCTCATTACCATCCCAGTCCAGACAGCGGCGAGGTGCCCCTGACATGCCCCCACTCGACGCTCGTGGACCTCTTCACCGTCCCGTCTGGAATCCACAATCTGCGGCTCTTTGCACCAAAACGAACGCTTGGAACGCTTCCAGAAAAATCAGAGGGCTGAGGAGAAAATAGCAAAAAAATATCTCAGCCCACAGTGACATCCGCAGTAACATCAGATCGACCCGCTTCTGGAATCCTGGATGCCTCTGTAGGGACACGACCGACCCCGAAGTCCGGCGCGACAAAAATATTATGCAACACAAAAAAGCGAAAAAGGGACAGAATGGGTGGACAAAATGTCGGAGCGGATTGTTGCATTGCCCCGTGCGCCACTTCCTCCAGTCACCCAATTAATTGGCCAGGTGGCACCGCGTGTCCGGCACGGCGCGGCTCGCGACCGACTCGCGGACGTGGAATTGAACCTCAACATTGCAGCTCAAGCTTGCAGCTCTGCTCTAAGCTTCTTGCAGTGACATCGAACCACGCGGGGGACTCGACCCAGCAATCAAACTTTGATTTCTTTTTGTTGCCTGCCGCCGAACTCCCGTCTCCAGCGAGGGCTGCTCGGCCGGTGACATCCCTCTGCAATTTACCGAGCGCCCCGGGTCTCCGTCTCGGCACACCCACCCATCGCTGCCATCACCACCACGACCTCCGACGTCATTCAGTCATGTTCGCCCGACATGCCTCCCACCCGGGCCAGACTCTGATCGCGGCGTTCCTGGCCTGGAAGGGTCTGCTGCTGGCCATCGCCGCCGGCAGCGCCGTCGCTCCGTCATACGACACCTCCACGACCTTGATGCTCAACCGCAGCGAGTCCGGCCTGTCGCTCGTCACTCGCCTCACACGCTGGGATGCCATCTACTTCACCCAATCCGCCAAGCGAGGCTACGTCTACGAGCAGGAATGGGCTTTCAACGCCGTCCTGCCCTACCTGGCGTCTACCCTCGCGGGTGCTGCCCGCCGCCTCGGTCTCGACGATGATGGCAGCGGCTCCCTGGAAGCGGCCTTTGGCATCGTGACGTCCCACGTCACGCATCTCCTCGCCGTCCTCACGCTGTACTCTCTGACCCTCCGTCTATTCAACCGCAAGCCTCTTGCTTTCCTCTCAGCCCTTCTCCACATCCTCTCGCCGGCAGGTCTCTTCCTCTCAGCGCCCTACGCCGAGGCCCCGTTCGCATTCCTCACCTTCCTGGGCTACGACATCCTCGCCTCGGCCTCCGCGCAAAACCGCGGCTCTCTCCCCTGGTCTGCAGCGCAAATTTCCGCGGGCGCCGCCTTTGGCCTGGCCACGGCGTGCCGCTCCAACGGGCTCCTCAACGGCATCCCCTTCGCAGCCGAGTGCATCATCATCGTACATGGCCTGCTCGCCAGCCCTATCACACCCGCAAGCGTCACCGCCTCCCTCGCGGCTCTGTTGGCGCCTGGCGTCGGGGGCGTCCTCGTGGCCATGGGCTCCGTCATCCCGCAGTACCTGGCCTGGGTAAGGTACTGTTCCGGCGCATCCGAGGCGCGCGCATGGTGCGGGCGGACCGTGCCCGGCATCTACTCCTTTGTACAGGAACACTACTGGTATGTATCCGCTCTCGTCGTTCCATCAGCCCTATCCGCGACCCTTGATTCCTCTTCCTGCCTGCAGTGGTTGAGGTACCCGTTCGGTACTTGCGGAGATTTACGGGTTGGGTCTTTGACATAGTTGGTCATCGGTGGAAAACTTTTGCTAATCACCGACACATCGCTAGGGGCGTTGGGTTCCTCCGCTACTGGACCCCCGGCAACATTCCGCTGTTCGCCTTAGCCGCGCCGGTGTTGGGTTTGCTGATCGCGTCGGGGTTGGATGTGCTTAAGAGGCCTTCGGGGTTGGGGCGGAGTCCGACGGCGGAGAAGGGCGGGACGACGGGCAAGCGTCAGAGTCAGAGTCAGAGTCAGGCTGGAGCGACTGGTGGCGGGATGGCGGTGATGGGCACGAGGGAGATTGTGGTGCTCTCGCTGGCGGCGTCCCAGGTCCTGCTGGCCGTCTTGGCGATCACAACGTACCATGTCCAGATCATCACACGGATCGCGTCGGGATATGCCGTCTGGTACTGGTGGGTTGCCGACTGCCTGCTGGACCCTCAGAAAGCTGCCCTGGGACGCAAGGTTGTGACTTTTTTCGTCATGTATGGCGCCATACAAGGGGCCTTGTTTGCTTCGTTCTTGCCGCCTGCTTGAGCTAGATACCCTGGTCGTTCAATAGAGTTTTGATAGTCTCATGATTTGATATCAGATGTCGTCCAGCGGCGATATGAGATGGCAAGTTTTCCTCGTTGTAAGGTTTTTAAGTGACAGCATTCTTCGGCAAGTCTGTAAAGAGATCAAAAGGGTCCCGGCGGGCGGGATGTCCTTGGCCTTGCTTGGCATCGAAGGGTCGTGAGGACGGGATAAGGTTTTTTTGGGCATGAGTGTAGTCCAAGCCCTAGTAGGGGTCCCTCTCGGCATGATGTATGATGTCAACGCTTTGTGTGCGCGGGACTGTGAGCTGTCATGTTCATGCCAAGAAAGCATGGATGGGATGTTGGATCGAGGTGACGGCATGGGTTCTATGTGATGGCGGTTGCTTATTCATCCCTCGAGGATAGCGAGGGTGCTGAGTGGTGGATGTTTGGAGGTCATGGGATGGAGGATAAGTGTCAATTATGCAATGGTCAGCTCTCGGAAGTTTATTGCTTGCTCCTTTGATATGGATTTGTTCCAGAAGGTCTGGTGCTTTCAAGTTGTTTCGTAACGATTGTGGAATGGCTGTGGCAAACGTCGTGGTTTATACATGGCTTACAAGCCAAAGTTCGCAACAACACCACTAAGACTGGGATGACCAGGCTAATGAAACCATGAGATTTCTGTGAATACTCGAGTTCTTTCGTGAACTAATTACGTTTTGTCACGAAATGTAGTGGTTGACCAGCGTTTTTCTAGAATTGTGAATGTTTACTTGATAGATTTGCTCGGTCAGGACATCAGTCAGACAAACCCATTGTAAATGCGAATTCTTTTCAGACGGTCAGATTTGGCCTCTTCCTGATCCAGGCCTAAAGTTTTGCCTGGCGTTGGGCTATTAGAACGGGGATGGTCCCACAACCATACCTCAGCTTCACCAGTCTCTTCGAAATTGTAATAGCATACGTTCCCAATATACATAAACGAGCGTTGTCAGGGAGAAGTCTGTCAGATCCTTTCATGCTTGGAATCCGTGGTCCCTTGAAGCCAGTAGTGCGGAGGAAGATCCAATGCCACAAAAGTAGTCCCAGGCTCCAACTACAAGGGGGTTCTTCTGCGTATGCTATAGCCATTTGCGCGCGCAGGTTGATGGCCCGCGAGGGCTTCGCTCAAGAATCTCGGTTCAACCAAGTCCAATCCAAACTACGAGGCTCTGGTTTTTCAAAGTCGAAACACCATGCTCGGCGCTGGCGCTCACTGAGATGTCGGAATTGATCAGGACATTTAGAAATATGTTGCCGCAGGTGTCGTTGTGTTTCGAGGCATGGCTGGCGGATATCCTACCGTACTAAAGAGGGCTATGGGCTGCCCGCGCGGATGGCTATGGCTAGCCGATCACAGGGGCTGACGCCGGCAGCGGCTAATCATTTTAGAACTTCTTTCTGTCTAATCATATCACTGAAGCTGACTCCGGATAGATAAATTTCGGGGGAATTTTCAGGTTAGCAAATCTATCACTCTTTGCCCGGCGGGCCACCGAGTACTACATATCCTTTCTTAGCAGAAAGGCATCCCCCTAGTATTTCCTCACTTATTTGCCGCCTTTCTTTCCCAGCTCTGCAATAGCGTCGCCCACCGCCTTCACGGAGTTGTCTACGGTGGGATCCCTTTGCTTGACCTCAGCTCCAATTGCGGGCATGGAAAACTGGAGAGAGCCCTTCTTTGGCCTGCAATTGTGAAGTGGGCAAAGATTAGCCGGCTTTTCTGGAATTGGGTAAATGAAATCAAGAGATTTGCTTACGCTATGTACTGCGCCGTCATCAGTAGATCGCCTTGACGGTTGAACATCGGATCTTTCAGGTTGAACTCGCCGGCAGCTGGATGGGTGAACTTCCCAGTTGCAACCAGGGAATCATTGATGGCCTTGTAGATTGACTCCTTCTTGTTGAGCATGCCCTCGACATTGTTCTTCAAGGTGTCGACGAACGATATTGCGGAAGTGCCATCATTGTTGCCAGTCTCGCGGATATCTTCAAATGAGAAAACATGCTGGTTCTCAAACTTAGTCGTAATGCCTTTATCCTGCGTCGATTCAAGCACAATGTCGACCTGCCAGTAAACGACATATGTTATTCTGTGCACAGTTCGTCAGATCGCCGTTCAGACTTCGGGGCTGGGCCTATTCACTTACTTTCCATCGTAAACCAGGTTTGCTTGTATCAATCGCGTGTATTCGCCACCGTAGGTTACTTTCGCCTCACTGTAACCTTGGATCCGGATTCGGCCTTGACCAGGTATAGGGACAATATCGACAGCACTGAAACCTGAACAAAATATCAGCTCCGTTCTGAGCGAGGTCCTCCATTCAGAAGCCTACTTGTGTTTCGGCCGGAGAAGTGATCTTGCCAAGAAATGGGACTCGTCCAATCGTCCGCCTCCTTCTTCTCCCCAGTATCGCAGTTCTGAGACCAAGACCAAGACACCCCATCCGCGTGCGAGATTCCGAGGTATCCTCTGCTCCGAGCTTCCTCATAGAAGAGACGGCCAGTAGTTTGGTTCAAGTTTGCGTCCTGAGAAGATGATTAGCTTTGCAGCTCCTGATGAGGCCGATGCGAGTTCTCCAAACCTTCTGGTTCTCTCGAAAGTTGTAGTAAGAGTCAGTGTACTGGGTATGCTGTGGGTTCTTTCCCAAGAATGACGCGTACTTCCAGTGAAACCGTCGTTGGCCTGCCGGACCATCACGAAGGAGCTCCACTACCATACAACAAACGTTGTGGTCAGGTCATGTGCTGCAAGCGGGGGAAGTTGACTGTCACATACTGCTAGAAGCGACAATTTGCATGTCATCGTTGTACTGGTGAAGCATCGGGAGAACAAACTTATCCAGGAACAAGGCTCTCCTGATGACCGCGCTGCCGTCGACGCGCCTCTCCTTGTCACGATCGATTGTGGTGAAGTTGCCACTCCACGCCAGGAGCCGTTCTCCCGATACGAGGCGGTTTTCAGTCATGTTACAGTATGTTAGGCAGTTTCTCGCAGCGTCTCCGGTCCAGCCAAGAATCGGCTGGTCGGTAGCACTTGCTTTGTATGGGTACGTCTGCATCTCAACCCACGTGGGCATGAGAATGTCCGCCACCTTATAGCTCTTGGCCTTATCTTTGTCAATAGATAGGCCATAACCCAGGGTTGTGTGTCCCGAGCTTTTGTTCTCCGTCAACCCTGCAAAATGTCAGTCAACTTTCCCACCTTTCACGCAGGGATTGGTAGATTGTGATACTAACACTGTTGAAGTAAGACGGAGAATGTGGTAACCTGCGCCGGCGTCATTGAGCCGAGGGATATCTCTGACGCAGGGAGAGAACTTATGTCGGCCGCTGTATTCCGTGGCGGTTAGACACACATATAATGTACATACGAGGTGCTGGTAGTCGGAGTGGGCGATCCGAACGTACTAGCTAGGTCTAGGAACAGGCGTTGAATGGAGAAATCTCCAGCCTGATCGCCGAACCTTTTGATGGTCATTTCGGCCTTCTCGAGCTCCTCTTGATACTTCTTCTTCGCCTCGGATTTGACGTCACCTGCAAGCCATCTTGTCAATCACGCGTGTTTATGAATGGGAGCCTACAAAGTCGCTCACTGTCTCCAAGCTTGGTGTTAAGACGAAGAACCTCCGCGTGTATGTCATTGAGCGCTGTGAAAGGGGTCAGCAGATTGACGCTCCCTGGCTGGGTGCGATTAGACATGTTTCGCTCACCAATGTCCACCTTGAATGCGATATAGTAACCAGTGATGTTGATTTCCTCACTACCCTTGGTCTTGGTGTTCCAAAGGAAGGCTTTGCTGTCCGTGGAGAATGTCAAGCGGAAGAGGACCGTTCCCCTGCCGGTACCGTCGGCAATGACCTGTATGTTAGGCGCCTCGATCGTGGCTTCAATGCGGGCAACGATTCCATATTCATTGCCGTCGATCGAAATTTTTGCGATGTTGTCTCCTTCAACATCCCACATAGCTTTAAGCGCCTCGTTGATGCTGTCCTGGGACATGGCCAGAAGCAGATCATATTGCCCGGTGCTGCTGGTGGTGATGCGAGAGTTCTCCATGATTACGAAATATGGATTGGTTGAAATTGCAATGAGATGTGATATTGATTTGAATTCAAGTCAGTGTCGTGATGAACAGAGCTTTCGATTTCTTCAAGTTTACCGCCAACTCCAGACTACTTATATTCATTGATTTCACAAGACCCTTTTCGTAACCTATTACAGAGCACCACTGTAGAAAATCGAGAGCCAGCATGTGATCCTTTCTGGACACGGGTGGGAACACGAAACTAGGGCTCCTGCATTTTGCTCCTACACTGAGAAACCTGGAGATGAGCACATCAATTCTCGTCATCTTTCAGTCTCATAAGCCTCATAACCGCATGCAGAGATACTGATTCATCCTTTTGGGCCGAGTGCTTCCGTCTTCACTAGCTAATGGGCTCGCGATTCTCACCTTTCACAGAAGAGAGACCATGCGAGTTACGTAGGACGAGCCGGACGATAGTCCAGGCCGGATACACTTCCTGATCATGGAATGTGGCTGGCTGATGACTGAAGCCAAACTCTATCACACGACACATCTCTTAAGTATAAGCGACGCAACTCAGAGGTTACTCCTGAAAGCATTCTTGCTGAGTGCAGTCACCTGATGAGACACATTTTGGATCATTACTCTTTCTCATGCGCGAGCTAGTACACAGAGAATCCTGATATTACTGTGTGGCTTTTCAAGGCAAATGCTCTGAATAGCCTCCTCCAACATCTTGGCCAGGTTGTTTCAGCTGGCCATATGATCCTTCTCCGCCTAGGATTCAGATGCATTCACCGGTACGACAACATGTTACATGTTGGTGGCTCTGAAGCTAAGGGAATAGAGAGACAGCCGATCGATGGGGATTGATCTAGCATTTAAACTTGACTACCACTTTCCGAAAACACCCAAAATGGCACGATGGGCACAAGGGAAAGGGCCTCCTGGTCGACCAACATAGCGGGGTTGGTCGTGGATGAGGTGGCAACTTGATGGTGTCAAATTGGGTAACAGGCTGGCCGTAGACGCCAAGATGTTATGTATGCGCCAACATTAAACGTTTTGGGATCCAAACCGTTGGAAGTTGCCACCGTTGCTTCTTGGTGCACACCCTGTGTATGAGCAGGGATCGGCATTAATGTCTCGGTAAATATTCCAGACCAGGCGTAGCCGTGGCTGCCAAGGGCCGAAAATATTAATGTCCAATGGCATTCGAATTCGAGGCTATGTCTCATCTTTACTTAGCGGAAGCGGAGTAGATCGGGGCATAAGAGTCCTCGTGGCTAGCTGAGCCAGATCAAAGCGTAACGCTCTTCCGGTATCTGCATAGGATCTAGTTAGGATGGGGGCCCAGACGCCCCAGATATCATTTAACGAATCTGATTGCAAGTGGGCTGATGATGGCGCGGTGGCTAGTCGCGGAGCATGTCGTGAAGTGTTGCGATGTCTCAACTTTGTGATATCGAAAGCTTCAATTTGAATAGATATTACTATCGAGGTCGTCACAAGATCACCGGTGACATGGGCTACTCCTCAATCCAAAAACGCCAGCGGTATATCACATTTGCTAAAACGCCCTGTCTGACTCGACTCGTATTGTAACGAACACGCGACGCTGAGATAGAAGTAACTAGGCCAAATGAAAGAAGAAGACGGTATAGATGACGGATCGTTTTCAGCATTTTCTGCATGCTTGTTATGCCGCTTTCTGGAAGGCTTTTTGCTCCATTTTTGGATTCGATCCATTGGCGCGGCAGTCCGTGGCTACAACACAAATCAAAATAGCCCCACGCTTCATCCTATAAGTTATTTTGGACTCTTTTTCTGACTCAGTACGCGAAGCCTTGCTGTGAGGATTTGTGAGTCGTGCATCATTGATGCGTAGATCTGTCTGCATGCTTCATTCCATTTTCGTTTGCGGTGTTTGCTAGTATTGACCTGTCACCCCAGTCCTCTCCTGGACGCTTCACAGCGATGCTAAACAAGATAATCCCTGGAGTGGCCTGAAACCGTCTCTTCGGGGGCGTCATCTACATGGACAACAAATGTGTACTGAGCGCACAGAGCATTATAAAAAGCTGGAATGCAGGACCAGCGAAGACATCATCGACATACGTTCGACCCCAAAGTTTACTTATCCCCAAGCACAACTACACCACAATTCACTCAGAACTTTATCTGTCAAATCAAATTTACCATGTCATCTCAAGCCTTCATCACTTCTGACGCAGAGTTGATGTGGAACGTCCTTCCCGCTGTTGCACTCCCTTCGCAATCCAAGTTTCTCACGGCCCGGGATAGGAATGGAAAGCCCATGCTCGTTGGTATTGGATCCGACTCAGTGCTTCGAGTCGGCCAAGAAAATCCCCATGACGGACTTCGTCAGCTTGTTGACCTTGGCACGAAGCTGGGCATTCCGTCGGACGCCGTTGTCGACGGGTTTGATCTTTTCCAGTCCAGCGACGACATCATATACCTGAGCGTGGCATATCACACTCAAACCGAAGCGAATCTTCTAGCAGCAAGACCGTTCAATCCGAGAGACATAGATTTGACTGATGAACAGGCGAGCTTGCAATCTTATCGAAGCTTGCGGCTGGACAATACCATCGCCAAAGATGTCCTATTGGTATGTATGGCTTGATCCGCGTGTTTTGCTCTAGCTTACCGTTCATTAGGGCAACTTTTCCAGACCTGGAGAATTCCCTCCAATCATTCTCAGTTATACAGATGACACATCACTCCGACATGCCAACGTCAAGCACTTCGAAGTTGTCAATGACCAGGTCACCAACATGGGAGATCTGAGTTTACCGGTGAACGCTTCTGCTATTGTGGGCATGAAAGTAGGGAAGATCAAACGCCACACTGGTCTGTTTATTCTGTATGAGCAAAACGATGCTCGCAAGTTGATGTTTTCATCCTGGACGACGCAATTCGATAGCCCCATATTGTGTCCACTAGGTAAGCTGCCTTTGGGTTCCGGGTGGTTACACTGTCGACCAAGACAAGGAACATTCACACTCTTTGAAGCGCAAAAAGTTTAATTGATCATAGGTGCGAGCTGCTTGGCAACAATCCACAATAGCAACGGAGATACAGACCTCGTTGTCGGCGGTGACGGGATATGGCATTTCAGTTCCCAAGACATGTTGTCGAGAGACGCCGTTGGAGACTGGTTGTGGAAAGGAGAGGAGTTCAAGGGTATCAAAAACTTGCATGTTGCACTGACAGGCAAACAGGCGAGCATCTGGGCAACGACAGAGGACGGAGGCGTCTCGTACGTGGAACTCGACATTTCTGCATTGGATGGGAAAAAGCATCCGGCCAAAGCTACCGGAGTCCCGCTACTACTTAGTGGTCAAGGTGGCAGCATCGCAGGCTTTGTCGGCAAAACGGGAATCAACGCCGTGTTTGTTTCTGACCAACTCAGTCAAATGTCGTACTTTGAGCAGGCAATCGATACCAAAATATGGAAGCGAACGCCTTTCTGGTTCCCCAGCCTCGAGAAAACGCTACAGATCCACTGCTATATGACCAGGCTCGTGGTACACGGTATTTCAGGCGCTGTGCTCCCCAAGTGCTGGATCGGACTCAAGAGTACCGGCATGGTCAGCGTTGCTGTCAACGGACTGCCTGTGACGCTTGGCAACACCCCGACTGCCCTCCAGACTGACGAAGAGGGTAGCATCAACATCATCAATCCAACTAACGACATGTCTTCCTACAGCTTTGAGGTTGTCGATGTTTGGGATGCTGAGCACAAAGTTCAGCTCTACCTCGAGCAGCCCTCGAAGATCGATCCCATGTCCAAATTGGAACGCATCTTGAGTGGTCTCACGGTCGAACAACTATCGACAGCCACGACTGCCGACGGAGACTCCGTTTTTGAGAATAAGAACAAAAGCGATCTGGAAAACGCTGTTACGGCGCTCAAGCAGCTGGACCGAGCCAAAGTTGAAATCGAGAAACCCGGAGAAACCGCATCCTACCAGCCGGCAACAACGCTTACAGAGACAGCCATTCTTGCGAACCCCAATATCTCGCCTGATTCAATTGCGGTTGGCACGCACGTCGGCGCTCTTGGAAAGATTAAGGTCGTATTATGGGATGTGTGGCACTATGTTGTCTCCGCGTGGCACAAAGTCAAGTCATGGGCGATTGAGACGTACAGTAAGCTTATTCCGATGACCCCCTGCAAACATCATGAGCAACGTTTTGACAGTACAATCAGATAATATTAAGACATTTGTCATTACGATTGGTCAAGAGGCGTACAGATTCGTGCTTGAGACGGCGACGCAGATAGCCAAGGCTGCAAGCTTCATCTACACGAAGTACTTGAAGGCCCCCTTTGAGCGGTTTGTCGAGTGGGTTTCAAACTTCTTTTCTTGGAAAGATATCTTGGAGGTGAAGGATAACATTCAAGACTTCATGAATGCCGCGTAAGTCGTAGCGATTGGAAAGTGAAATGACGTTAGTGGTTGCGAATGCTAACTCTACACGTGCAACAGCCTCGATTATGGCTCCTCAAACCTCGAGTGGGCCACCGACAAAGTCGCGGCTAAGTTTGATGGCTGGAACGATGCTATAAAAAGCCGCGTTGTGTCCAGTAAAGTACCCGACAGAGTACTCAACAGGGTTGCGGGACCAAAAGAGCAGGATAACGTTGATCCGACATACAAGGACAGAATGAGGCAGTCTGATGTCAAACAGAACTGGACGAAATATCAACTCACGCACGGAGGCGCGCTTCGTGGTGCCACAATAGGTAATCTTTGCCATTTCCAAAAATGAATCGGAGATAGATGTCTGACTCATCTTCCAACAGAAAAGGCAGCTGGCGATACCGTTTCCCAGGAGTACCAAGCAACCTGGAACAGTGTCGTAAAACCGATGCTGGATTCGCTTTCGGCCACCGTCGGCCAAGTCATGCGCGATATCTCGCTCCTGTTCAAGGTCAACAGCAAGATTTCCGCGGCTGAAATCCTCAAGAAGCTAGGCGCGGATGTGTTGATGGGAATTCTCAACACGGTCAAATCGCTTGTGGTCGGGGTGCTTCAGCGGCTGGCCAGTGTGGTCGATGATTTCAAGCAGCTGATCCACAAAAAGATTAAGATCCCAATATTCGGTGATCTTTGGGTTCTTGCTAACAAAGTATTGAATCGCAATGTCGAGGCCCCGACGTTCACTGTCATCGATTTCGTCTCCTTCGTCCTAGCCATTCCTCTCACGCTGACTTGCAAGCTGTTCACGGGCGGACGGAAACCGCCCGCACCGCCCAAACTCAATATCAAGACCTTGAACGCAATTTTTGACGAGTCGGCACCAGAGACGGACAAGGCTTCCTACAACGGCTTCGCCGCCATGCTGGAAACGGGTGCGTCCTCAACGCTGGCCCTCATCGGCATTGCTAGCACCGCGGGACTCGGAGGCGCCTTGGCGTCCTTGTTCGACTTTCAACTTTTGTTTGGACTCATTCGAGTTGCTGCTTGCCTGCCGACGAAGAAAGATCTCCCTTTATGGGAAGTTCGGTGCGCGGTAGGTTCTTCCACCTCAACAATCTTGCCGCTGCCACGGAACTGCTGACTGACCGGTTTCAGGTTTCCGCCATCGACGCTATCAACGTGTTCGTTCTTGCTATTTCTCGCAAAGTTGACAAGGACGGCCAGGGAGAAAAGATATTAGCGACCATAGAAGGAGCCACGGCGTTGGTCAACATCGTTTTGAACATTGCGATTGACACCGCCGAGCTTACCGAGGATTGGGCAGGCAAGAACGAGGAGCGGACAGGATACCAAATACTCATTGCAATTCTCGGCGGGGTTTCTACAATTGGGAAAACCGTGGCCACTGTCAGTCCTGATCCTGATTCCAAACTGGGGGGTCTCGTAACCAAGCAAGTGGCTGGTAAGGCAGCCGGTTTCTTTAACGTGGTGAACACATACAGCAACATTTCCAAGGGCAAGTACACGGCCATTTTGAATTCAGGTAGCTGAAAGGATTTTCATTGTATTTATCAGAACATTTCTGTTTGCACAGATGCATCTTTACTTCTATGGTCACTAAATGAAGTGACAAAGGATAAATATTGAGTTACAGTCTTGTAATGATTAAGCTTAAGGTGATTGCGCTAGTATAGCAATCTGATCTTTGACGTACAATATCGTCTCGCTGCAGTTCTTGTCCATCTACTTCGAGAGGGACATGAAGTAAGAAACAGCATACATGATTGCCAGGCGGATCGTCTACTTTCTGTCACCAGGTGGAATACGTAATTTCCAGCCCAATGGACAGACTTTTTGAACAGGAACTTCAAGATAGAAAGATCTCATTCAACAGCGTGATAATCTGCTACTCGCAGATGTTTCCCTAAAGCGATCTCTTTCGATTCTATCTATCGAAATATACAAATGCCTCTTTCAGGCAGGGTATCCGGTCTAAGTCTAAGTCATTACCAGGACGGCGGCTCTATCCTGTCTACCGTTCCAATTACCGTTACGAGCTCCCAAGAAAACAAAATTCGATAACAAACGCATCTCAGTCGCTGTCTTCGTCACGACCAGGCCAGACAAGCTTCCTCCGCACCACGGCCCTCGCGCAGCAGAACCCGACAAAGAGCCACACCGCCACTAACAAAATCGTAAACACCGTCGCCAGCCACAGCAACCCCTCGCTCCCGAACGCCTCGCCGATGCGGATGGTGGCGACTGTAAATCCCACGTTGGGGAACACGAAACTCCACCAACTCAGATGGAACGAGTGGTCCGGCATGCCGAAGACGGTCGACAGGCACGCGGACGAGAAGAACCAGAACGACAGACCCCACAGGAAGACGGCGGTGAAGAGCGCGACGGCGCGGATGGCGAAGGCGACGGTGCCCGGGTTCTCCATCTCGGTGAGGTAGGCGGCGGAGCGCAGGGATGCCGGGACGAGGGAGCCCTCGGAGGCGATCAGGCGCGGGACGTCGGCGGCCATGGAGACGAGGGCGGCGGCGGTGAAGCTCGGCGGCCCGACGGCGATGAACATGCCCGGCCGCTGGACGGGGAGGCCGACGGTCATGAGGCGGGAGAGGTAGGTGGCGTACATGAAGGCTGAGACGAGGAAGCCGAGGCCCTGGGCGGCGAGGCCGGCGCCGAGCATGGCGGCGGCGTGGGCGGGGGGCTGGGAGCGGCACATGAAGCCGGCGAGGGTGCCGGTCAGCATGACGGGGAAGATGGGCAGGATCCAGGCGGGGGTCATGCTGTCGAGGGAGAGGCGGCGGCGGCCGGTGAAGAGGAGGTGGTACATGCCGACGGAGGCGAAGAAGGTGACGACGAGGTAGAGCCAGAAACATACGCGGAGGGTGGTGAGGAGCCAGGGCCCGCATTTGGGGACGGCGTAGTGCTGGATGTTGGAGAGGGCGGCGGCGAGGGAGAGGAAGAAGGTGGGGATGAAGAGGGACTCGGAGGGGTGGGTGATTGCCTTTGCGGGGGCCTTGCGGAAGAAAGAGAAGCGGAGGCAGAGGACGAGAGTGATGAGGAAGATGAGGAGGATGTCGAGGAGGAAGACGACGAGGCCGATGGTGTCGAGGCCGGTGAAGCGGTGGGGCGTCTCGGCGAGGAGGAGGGCGATGCCGCCGGTTGACATGCTGCGAGTGGGGGTTAGCTCGGGGTCGTCGGGGCCGATGGGGTCGGAGCCGGCACCGGGGTGGGGGAGGGGGAGGTCTCACGTTAGTGTGTACCATGCAAAGGTGAAGTGGTGGATGCGCTCGCGGAGTGACACTTTCTCGAGGATGGTGTTTGTGCGGGAGCGGGTGCGCGAGATGGTCGCCATGAGGGCGTTTTGGGGCGGCGCATCCGAGTTGCCTTGGGCCACTGACCTGGTTGAGGTCTTGGACATGTCTGGGGGATGTTAGTGGGATTCAACTTCGAATGAGGAGAAATTGATGGCACTTACTTGCTTCTTCATCTACGACAGCCATGGTGAGTGACGGAACACATTGAATGTGTGAATTTTGTGAAGTTGTAATGGAAGCTGATGAAGCTGGAGTGGTGGTTTTGAGAAAAGTGGTGAGGTGAGGTTATCGACGTCACCGCGCTTGCACCAGTTTCGGGATGGGCCCTGTATTTGATGTGGGTTGGGACGGATGAGTCAGCTGCTGTGCTGTGGCGCCAAGGTGGGGGTCACGCCAGAGGGCAGGTAATGTTTGGGTGACGAGAAAGGGGGCTCGTATGATTCTGTGCTATTTATCGAGGATACGACGTGGTCTGGGCTGGGGCTGTGGACGAGTATTTGTAGGTTGGGTTTTCTTTTGGGCTCCTCATGGTCCATGGAAATAGACGGGAATTTGGGCGAGGAAAAAGTTAGATCGGCAGGCCATGGCTCGGTAGGCCCGATTGATCCCGGGCCGGAACGGTGTGGCGTCGACCTCGGCGCCGAGTGGTCGGACGGGACCTCGCTTGGAGTGGTAGTTTTGACGGATGTTGAATCTGACAGGATGAATTTGCAGTATAAATATCATCTTCATGAATGATGACGGGTTGCGATGGTGATGACACTAAACACTGATGGCAGTCAAAACATGGCATTGCGTCATCCAAAGCTGTAATAGATGCGGTTTCTAATTGAGCGTGCGCCCACATGCGATTCCCATCACATGAATTGCGACAGTCTAAAAACAGCGCCGACGATGCGACGACGACTTGCTGCCAGTGTTGCTTAAAATTTGGGGACGACCCGGCACTTGTTCGCGCCATGCCCAAGGTACGATAAAGTACCGGGCGTGCAGGACCCCTTTTTTTGCTGGACCCTAGTTTTGTTCCATGGCGGCGACGGGATCTTTGACGGGGACGCAAGAATCCTTCCCGGGTGTCATGTGAGGTCTCTTTTGTTTCTTGGGATGGAACTTTCCAGGTGTCGGGTTACAGGCGCAGGCAGACCAGAGACAACGCGGCCTACCCTCCACCCCAGCACCTCACACCGATCGTGACACTGAAACACGGCTTGGCTTGTGGTGCTTGAGGGAGGCAGCAGGCTTGGGTGCGAATTCCTGCGTAGTGTCCGAGATGGTGGCTGCGGATGATTGCGTCCTCTGGTGTCCGCCTTCGGCGAGCGGATTGGGAATGGGAATTCGGAGCTGGGAACGGGGAAAGCCTAGGAAGTGACAAGATGCGAGGAGCATTGGCCACATTCAAGGTCCAGGTCCCAGGATCCATTGTCTGTCTGTCTGTCTGCCGGCAGTGTTCGGTCGGCTCCCCGCTCCGAGTCAGTGGGCAGAGGGTGGTCCGGTGAGGCCTGACTAATCAGTAGACAGTGGCCAGAGGCTGCTGGAGTGGTCGCAGATGCAGTTTCAATGTTGATACAGAGTAAAGAGGAGGACGATCCATCAAGACGTGGCTGGAGATGCAGGTAGCCGTGGCGGCGGCAGGTTTGTTTTGTGCGGTGCGGAGTGAGGGCGAGGGGCCGTTGTCTTGGTGGTGGCCGTGATCGCGTGGGCTGCAAGGTGGTTGGCCCTGGTCGCAACGTGGGTGGAAGACAATGCGACGTGTTCTGGCGATCACGGGGCTGTTGGGGGAGGTGTTCGTCGGGAAGGGGATGTTGGTGGTTCATGCTGTGGGATGTAAGCGGACGGCCGGTCACTCGTTCTAATTTGCGTTGTTTTCTCTCTGGTGATAGGGGCGGCATATCACGGAGGAGACAACATGGTCTCCTGTTGGTAATGTTTGTCAACTGTGTTAAGGTCTAGACTGGCTATAGAAGGTGCTTAATGCTTGATTGCTTGTTGGCGAGAGCTTCATGTCGTTTGCTTGCTGCATGTCAAAGTGTTGTTGGTGATGAATGTGACGGGTTGAATCTCCTGCTTCCCCAAGTGGAGAGCTTCCTGGTTCAGTAAATGTTGCCGCAAGTAGCGTCGATGTGTCTGCCTCGCTAAAATAGCTGGAAGCAACATGGAGGTACATTGCCAGAGGAAGCGGCTCGTTAGTGCGGAGGGAGGGAGCACTGGCCCTGCGCAGGTGCAGCAGCTGCCACTGCACCAGAGGAGAAAGTGGAAGTCGCGGACGGGGAGTGGGGCGATTGGGGAAAGGAAAGAGCAGCGCACCTGAGAGAGGTGCACCAGACAAGGCTGCCAAGAACGCGTAAAGGTGGAAGGTGCTGTTCGTCACCACTTACCTTACTGGCAACTGCTCCTGCTCCTGCTCCTGCTGCTCTGGGCGGGCTGCTTAAGCTTAGCGCGCGCCGTCAGGGCAGGCAGCCGAGAGAGTGAGGTGGACCTACATACCTAGGTACCTTGCGGGCGTGGTGGGCACGAGGTCCCTCCCTCTCCATGTACCCTTGCTGCAAAACACGGGTGCAGGATACATGGTCATCCCAAGCTCTGTCTTATGTAAGGTGGTCTCCTTGAGGGAGCTGACCTCACTGCTGCTCCGTGTGGCCAGCCCTTCCCAGCAAAGGTGAGGCCCAGGCTGCCCTCTGCTGCATCATCACTCGCACTGCCTGTGCCTGCGCTGCACACTGCACACTGCATTGCACCTCTCCTCTGTCCCGCCTGCGCCTGTGTGTGTCGTTGTCTGTGGTTGTGCTGCTGCTCCATGCGTGTGTGTGTCCTCACCACAGTATTCCCGTCCCGCTGCCTGCCTTACGTCCATCTTCCCCCGTCCACGCCCACGCCTGGCAGGCAAGGTATTTGACCAAAAGAACACCCGACCTCCAACATCACCTTTTCTTTTTTTCCCTCGTCTCCTTCTTTTCGTTGTATCCCCCACCGCCGCCCATTGCCTGCCCCATTTCGAGGCAGAGGGGAAACTGCATTGACCACAGTTCATCTTTCCGCCGGTGACTGCATTTCCAATTGACCACCACAGGATTGTCAGCATCTCGTCCAGTCCCGTCCTGCCGGCCATCGTCGACGTGCTGCTCCGGATCAACGAACGCCCCGCGACCGACGACACCCCCGACTGACGTCCAGCTCTTTCCACTAGTTGGTGTGGAAGCGGGAGCTGGATACATCCTGCCTTGC